AAGATCAAACTAGCTACCCATGATCCTCGCAAGTGGGATCGCGGTATTTCCGACTCCCTCAATCATGAAAAGGGGGTCTCTTGTGACCAGGAACTACTTTGGTATGACGGACGCATCTACGTTCCGATGGACCGAAGACTGCGGGGGGAGATCATAGCACTACGACACGATCATGTAACTGTGGGACATCCTGGGATAGAAAAAACCAAAGAGCTCATTTTACGAGACTACTGGTGGCCTCAAATGCGTCGAGAAGTGGAGGCGTATGTCAAAGGGTGCGAAGTCTGTCAGCGAACTAAGGCTGACCATCGACCCAAAAAGACGCCTCTTCACCCTAATGAGGTACCCAATCGACCCTGGACCCACATTTCTGTCGACATGATCACAAAGCTCCCCAGCTCAAAGGGGTTCGACTCCATACTGGTCATAGTCGATCGATTTTCAAAAACAATCATTCCGATCGCCTGCACCGAGGAACTTACGTCCCTCAGATTCGCCAAAATCCTTCAAGACCACGTCTACATACCATACGGGGTAATGCCGGAGAAGATTATATTGGATAGAGGAGCCATTTTCGTATCCAAATTCATGTGAGAATTTTACACCCTGATTCAAGTTGAGGGAAATCCCTCCACTGCCTACCACCCTCAGACAGATGGGCAGACGGAACGAGTCAACCAGGAGATCAAGAAGTACCTCAAAATGTTCGTGAACTACCGACAGGATGACTGGAGTGAATGGTTGGCGTTGGCCGCCTTCACCCATAACAATCGAAAACATTCGGCGACAGGCTTTTCTCCTTATAAAGTCGTCTTTGGAAGGGATGGACAGGTCATCAAGACGGCCCAACGTCCCGATGTCGTTCCTGCGGCTTCCAAGTTGGTCCGAGGAATTCAAGAGGTGCAGGAGAGGGCAAAAGAATCACTGGAGCGGGTGGCCGAATCCATGAAAAGGGCCTATGACAAGCATAAGGACAAGGCCATAGAATATCAAGTTGGCGACAAGGTATGGTTGGATTCCATCAACCTAAATCTACCCTGACCTACCAAAAAACTCGGGGATCGACGGGTAGGCCCCTTTACCGTCATTGCCAAAAAGGGCGCTTCCGCTTACGAACTCAAACTTCCCACTGGTTGGAAAATTCATAACCGGTTCAATGAGTCCCTCCTAACTCCGTACCACGTCCCCGAATTTCCCAACCAACCATGTCCGGAGAGGCCACCACCTGAATTGATCGATGATGAAGAGGAATACGAGATTGAGGAAATTGTAGAGCAGAGAGATAAAGTCGTTGGTCGAGGACGAACTCGTCGAACAATAACCGAATACCTGGTCAAATGGAAAGGGTACCCCTCAGAAGAAAACTCGTGGGTGAAGCAGTCCAATATGGCCAATGCAGAGGAACTGGTTAACGAATATGAGGCTCGCCTCCAAAGGATCCAATGGGAAGTTGATAAACACGGAAGGACAGTGGGGATTGACACCAAAATACCCTGGAACCTCCCTGTGACATACCACAAACCAGAAATTCCCTGTCTGACTGACATAGTCACAGTCCTATCATCCCAATGCTCAGCGATAGCTCACTCGGAGGAAATTGACAGGATAGTCGGTGACATACCTATCAATTGGCATCTGGCTTTTAATCCGGAGCTAGAGAACGACTTCATTGAAGGAAAATGGCCGAAAGTAACCACAGATGAAGCAGACAGAACACCAGTCATCGACGAAGAAGACAACACAGAAGAAGAGGTAAACCTTCAAAACCTCCAACGTATTCATGAAAACTGGAACGTGGATGAAGAGAAAGATGACAATGATATACCATCTTTCTACTCTGAATCCAAACATTCAACTTCGGATGATGACGAGTGGGAGTCTGATGACTCATTCGGGATGAACGAGTCTTAGGGAGGGGGTAATGTTACGGTTTATTCATTTCTTTTCTTTTCTTTGTTTTACTCAGCCTGATTACTCATATGCGATCACCACAGACACATTCTCATGGTACCATTATTAGCTTATCAACGTGTATTTAAGTAGAGCCTCCGCTGGTCTAAACCCCAGCTTCGGCTAAGGTTTAATCTACCTAACTCAAAGCTCCCTGCTCCAAGACTATTTGCTTCGTCGCTCGCTCGTTCTGCAAGACTTTGACCTCTATCGTATCGTCCACCGAAGTGCGAGTGGCAATCCCTAGTTGATCTAAGTTTTGAGAGTTAGTGGCTAACAGCTGGGAAGTTGGTGAGTCCAAAGAACATGACCAATGGTTCAAACAGCCCTTGGTTAGTGTGAAAGGCAGCCTTCCATTTGTCTCCATCTCAAATCCTCACATTGTTGTATCCCCACCATATGTCCAATTTGGTGAAGTACCTGGCTTCTTGGAGCTTGTCCATGAGCTCCCTGATGAGTGGCAAGGGGTACCAATTCTTAATTGTCATCTCATTCAGCTTTCTGTAATCCTGCACCGGCCTGAGCTTCCCATCCTTTTTCTTGACAAAGAAGAATGGGGATGCCATCGGCGACTTCAATGGTCGAATGTGCCTGCTTTCCAGGTTTTCAGCCAGGAACACATCCAGTTCAGCCTGTTCCTGGGGGTTCAGAGGGTAGACCTTGCAGTCCAGGCTAGCTCAGGCATTGGGTATGAGTTCAATGGCATGATCCCAGGGTTTAGTGTGAGGTAACTCGTCGAAGTTCTCCTTTGCAAATACATCCTGGTAGTCCTGATAGGCCTCAGGTACCATGTTCTTAAATTCCTTTTCTACCTTGCCCTGGTTGGCTTTCACTGCTAGGTCATTGGCTCAGGTGCCTGTGGCCCTGAGGTATTCCCCCCTTGTCATATCTACCATGAGGATCCTATCCCCTTCCTCGTACTCCGTCCATCGTAGGGTATCCTTGTCAGGTAGTTGGAAGGGTACTGGCCTACAGTCACACCAGGCTAGGTGCACTGTTCTGGTGCTCCAGTCGATGATGGGGTTGTGCCATTGTAGCCAGTCATAGCCTAAGAATATCGGGGTCGTCCCAAGGTCTATGATGGCCAGTTCTATGTGTTTGGTGTGGTCACCTATGGTGAGCCTTACTTCTGTGTACTCTGTGATATCTCTGCCTTTGTTCCTCGTTCCATCAGTGTTGTATACTGGAGTGGGGTGTCTTGCTTGTGTGAGGGTAAGGCCTTGTTGGTTTGCCCATTTTTGGTCTATGGCACTACCGGTACAACCACTGTCAACTAGGGCTCGGGTGGGGCACTGAGTTGTGGTGCCTATGGCTTCCAGCTGCAGGTCTATGGTGACGCTGCACCCCTTTCCTCCCTGGATGTACTGTGGGGGTGTCCGAAGGTCTTCAAGTTCCCAGAGGGCAGCCTGGGTTTCCTCAGGAGCCTCTCTGGGTCGTTCCTGCAGTCGCCATACATTGTCAGCAGTAACCTCCTTCTGCTTGGCTGGGTGTATCCATTTCCGCAGTATATCTTTCTGAGTGTCAAGATTGGAGGCCTGCTTTAGCCCCTTGCAGATCCATTCAGGTTGGTCTTGAGTGGGTTGGTAACCTTGTGGACACTTGGTACTGGTATGCAGCAGGTACTCCATGATTGATGATCGGGTCTTCGCCTCCACATAGGCCTCCTTTGGGTGCAGGTAGCTATAGTCATCCTCCTCGTTGGGTACCTCTTCCACCATAACCCTCGTCTGGGTAGGGCTTCCTCGTGGAGTGGAGTGGGACATAGAGGGCTCCATGCTGCAGCGCACTCTGTTAGGGCCCTCAGTGAGTATGGGCTCACCTGTGCATAGACCCAAGCACTTCATCACTCCTCCTGTTTCCCTTATTCCACTGCTGCTGCCCCCTAGACCCTCTGAGGGCACAGGCAATTCTAACTTACTCCTTTCTGATGATGACAGTAGCGATGGTATATTCAAATGCACTGATGTATGTACATTAAAAGAAATTGAAGTCCTTGCTGATGAAGTGGAATCGCTTAGTTCTTCATCGGCTGTTCTTTTACCTCCTCGATCTTTGTCCCTCCTGATAACTCTTCTGGCCTATTTGGATCATCTAGCATCGCACGAATCATGGACTTGGATAATTTGTAATTCTCAAGACCTGTTACTGCTGGCTTGGGCTTGATTTTCCACATGGACTTATCGAGAGGACATTTGTTGTCCTGAGTCATGTGATTTGGCAATCCACATCGGAAACATAACCTGTCCTGCTTGAGGCGGTCTATTTCCATGGGAAGTCCCTGCCCTCCATATGTGGTGCCCGTGGCATCCTTCTTGTGGTCAAGGATACTGGGGTTACTGGGTTTTGGAGTGTTGGGTTTGGGATTCATCATTCCTTGCAATCCTCCTGTCTCCTCAGCATGGTGGACATGGTAGTTTTCGTCGATCTGCTTCACCCTCCACTTCCATTCTTTGTAACTCCTTGGTCGGTCGTTATCGCCATGCATAATGATGTCCTTTGTTTTGATATGGATGGCCTGTTTCACTGTATCCATCATTTCCTCCTCGTTGTCATACTTCTCTGCTTCTATTGCGAGTTCTTTGAAGTCGGTGAAGAATTCCATGGCCATTTTATAATTTGCCTGCCATAATGCCTTCCATTTGATCCTTTTGAGCTCTATCTCTGTGGCTTCTCGGAATCTAGCCTTCAGATCCTCAGTGAACTTGGGCCACGTAGGGTACCTGGTGTGCTGGCAGATTGGGTCATACAAGTGCCCCCTAATTTGGACCCACCACTCAAGCACCTTCCCTTCTAGCAGAGAGGTGGCAAATACTATTTGCAATGGTGCATATGGAATTCCTGGGGGAATATGGTGAAGTAGTCTTCGCATCCCCCCAGGAATCTCTTAATGTTGCTTGATATCCCAGAGAACGGGGCAGGGTCTTCATCATCTTGGGCTGCATGGTTCCCCATGGTAGTTCGCTTCCCTCCAACTCCCAGGATTCTGGACTGTCTGGAGGTGGTCCTGGGGGCTCTGGAGGTAGTTCCAGATCTATTAGCTCTGGTAGGGATCAGAGTTCATAGTCATGGTGGGGATTGTATGGGGGTGATGGTGGCAGTGGCAGTGGGGGTCGTATTGATTTCTGTATGGTTTTCTTCAATTCCGGCTGGGGTTCTGGGGGTATTTCTGGTTCTTCTTCTGGCATGCCCCCTATTAGTCTAGAACCCAGGGGTAGCATGGGTACATGAGCTGGTGGCAGCTTCAGAATGTTTGCCCAATGGTATGGCAGGTAACTCCATTGTTTGAATGGTCGTAAGACATCTGCCTGGTCAGCGTGAAGTCGGTTCCATAGCTTTGCGGTGTAGTGAAGCACTTTATCTGCATATATTGAGTCCCTTACTTCCTTTGGTACCTCCTTTTGATACATTAATTTAGCCACTGCCAATGTTACCCATGATCCTTCATTGGCCAGGGACTGACCCTGCCATTCCAGAAGCTCCTCCCAATCTATTTCCATCACCTCCTTCGTCATCTTTGTCTGCTGGATAGGTGTGAGGGTAGAGGGTGCCCAGGGTCAAGTTGCCCCCTTGGAACCAGTACCTGAAGTTGGTGAGTTCTGCATGCTGCCATGGTAGGAGGTGGTTCCACCGGGTGGTCTCAGTATTGCGAGGCCAGAAATAGAGAGGCTGGTCCTCAGGTCAGGGATCAATGGGTTGTTCAGGGGGGTCCCGAACGATTGCTCCCCCTGCCCGCACCATCTCTCAGTTTTGATTCCTGATGGCTCTGGTGAAGTCTTGGAACCTTCGGTGTAAGACATCCCAGTGGGAATGTATGGGTTGATGGAAGAAGAACTCGGCCAGTTGGGGTTCTGGCCCATATCTCTCTGGTACCCACTGGACATATGGGATGAGTGGCTCAGGGGTCTCATATTCCCCTCATTGGTCTTCAGCAATGGCTTGAAGCTGGCAGCATAGGCCTCCATGGCACTCTCTGTATGGCCTGATGGCATGGTCCTTAAGCTCCTTTCAGATGTCACAGGGGTTATGCTCCTCATCATCGGTGACCCAGGAGTCATACTGGTCCGAGCTGTCGGATGCACTATCAGTGTCTCCTCCCTGAGTTGTGGCTGTGCTGGCACCCCTGGCGATGCTGGGATTTGCCCTTCTGGGGATGGTAGGAGAGTCTGGGTACTGTAGGTTGAACTCTGGAATCTCCCTGTCCTTGAGTGGGGGGAGGCGGTTGGCTTGGTGCCATGTGTCCATGATCTCCCAGTCACACTGGTATATACTGAACTCATCCAGGTTGGGGATCTCTTTGGGGTCTGGGGCTCAGCTTCTGAACCCATCGTAGGCTACAAAAGGTGTTTCCCCATCCCCGGTGCTGATGTAGAGTCGGTTGGAGTAGGGGTGTCTTCCGGGACCAACGATGATCCCTCTGGTACTCAGGTCGACCCTGATTTCTTTGAGTCCATACTCTTGATCTGTTGAGTCTGCTGACAACCAAAGAGGCCCATCCATGAGGACTTGCTGCTCTCTTCGCTCTGCATCTTCTCGCTCTTCTCTGCCAGACCCAACACCCCTCTCCACGTCCTCTTCTTCTTGCTGGATTGGGAGGTCGGCATGGACGTTCTCATCCTGACTCGTTGTAGCGCTGTGTCAGAAGCGGATTGTGCTTGCGGTATGGTAGTGGAATGGGGTTCGTCAAGGTTGTCTGTCGAGCCCATAGTATACTCTCCCGGTAGCAGGGGTCTGCAGGACTCATGCTCAGTGCCTTCACTTGTATTGGAGGTATCCATACAGGAAGCAGAATGCGAGGACAATGATGGCAGTTAGAAAACCAGTGAAGACATTAAATGTGTTGGAGGTCGTACTGCTCATTGGCAATGTTCACTGTCGTGGTTGACAATGAAGATCCCTGAGAGAAGCTTTGACTAAATGTTATCCACTAGTATGACAAACAAGGTCAAACTCATGATGTGACTTGCACTTTGGTCAAGCATGCAATGAGCAGGTGAAGTCTGCCTCCTGGGGGATAGCTTAGATAGCATTCAGTGAGGATGATGGAGTCAACAACTAGGTATATAAACCTTAGTCAAAGCTGGGGTCCGTACAGCATAGTATGTGCTACTTAAATACTAAAGGTCCTGTCCTAATAATAGTATCAATGAGTCTGAGAGTCGTATGATAAGAACTGACTAGAAGGCCTGTGTGTGATGCCCGTGGGCATGGTACTAAGTGGGTATGAGTAAGTAAGGTACGTGGACATGGTCCAATAGAAAAATAAAGAAAATCCATGACACCTTTCCCACATAAGCCTGGTACAAATGACGAGCCCATTCAATGCTCTCCTCATCTTGCCAGGTGTGTAATCTTCTTCTTAGTTATGTCCTCTGTGCTGACACTCTCCTTATCTTGCCAGGGATTTGTTCCTGCACTGTGTTTTTGTCTATTATTGAATAAAATATCAATTTCTTCTGTCAATCCATATTTCTCTTCATGTCTCAGAATGCCAACACTTGAGGAACAGCTGAAAATATGTCCCAATCCACTGTCAGGACTGTCGATGGACCATGAGTGCATAGCGCTACCTCAGGATCACCCCCAGCACTCAACCTAGCACAGCAGCAGATCATTCAGTGCTGTGAGTCCATCATGGAGGAGTTTCAATGGGGGAATACTACTAAGGTCCATGCAATTCAACTCCTGGCAGACCAGCTCTCAGCCAAACCTCTTGAACTGCATGAAGATCCCTTTCAGAGGGAGCAAGCCTTACAAGTCTACTTGAATATGCTCACAGAGCATGAGTGGGATAATGAGGAAGCCATTCATCATGGAGCAGTGCAGGGAGGTCAAGACAGATCAGTTGAAGGATGGGCAGGGGGAGAAGGTCAGCAAGCTCATGCACCTGCCAGAGGAGAAGAACCTCACCATGGTGCAAGGTCAGTCTCCAATGCCTCTGTTGACAATGATGATGACCTTGACACTGATGATGAAGAGGGAACTCGAGTGAAGAGACCAAGGGGTGACAAATCTAACTATCCTTGGGTGGCCGTTGGAGAAATCACTTGAGCCATCCTTCGACCTGAACTCCAGCAGACCCTGCAGCTCATTGACACCTATGCCCTCGATATCTGGACAGCCAAACACAGCTTTCTCAACAGTGTGTCCTGTCCAGATTTTCCAGAGTACGAAGTCCATAACCTTCTGTCCAGAAGAGCAGTCAACCTCAATGTCATGTTTGCCACAACACATTCAACCTCTATCAACAAGGTCAAAACTCACTCAGTGTCTGATAGAGTTGCAATCCGACTCTCGAATGGCATGTCATCATCAGACCTCAAAAAGACAATCAGAACGGCATCAGAGTGGAGTGCCACCTGGCACATATACACTAATGCTGTCCTCATTGCCTTCTCACATCGAGCCCAAGAGCTCAACAGCTATCATGACTATATCTTATCCCTCTTTGACAGCAATGTTGCTGACTTCCATCCCTGAATATTTAACCTGGACTGCACAATTTGCAGTAGAGTCAGGAGATGCCACAACATTTATCTTGCTGACTTTATTAGGTTCATAGACCTTGAGCAGTCACATCTCACCATCTCAGGAACAGCTTACAATGAGTACAACATTGATCAGGCAAAAAAGAAAGGACCTGAGAGAGCACAAAGTCAGAACCCATGCCATAGATGGAATGCTGGTGTTGTGCCTGCAGCCTGTTTACGCATGTAATTTTGCAATCTGACACATTATACATGCATACTGAGATACAGTGAATGAGCAGGCTAAATGGATGCATTGACACTGAAACTATGCAATGTATGGAGATGATAACTAGTGGTATCATAAGAAGCATGGGAACATTAACAGGACTTAGCCATAGCATTGTACCTGATGGGCATGCTTGACAGGAAGGCCACACCATAAACCCAGTTGCTGCATGATATGACTAGAGCTCACTGTTATGGGAGCTGAGAAACCAACTCAGATTGTATAAGGATTGATGATATTTAGCAAGCTCACTAACTATGACACATCATACCTGAAAATCTGGAAAAATCCTTATGCAAGATGACAGATATCACTGGCATGAACTTGGACAGTGGGTTTTGGCTGAAGTCCATGAGCCTGCATTCCATTGTCCTGAGTCCCATTGTTTGAAGACTCACTTGTTGCTATGTCTACAAGAAGCCTCTGTGAATCCAAAAAAGAAGTACTGAAGGACATATGCTAGAACTGATAGGTCCATATGCCTAGACCTGTCAGTTGTCAGAGAACAAGCCTGTGGGTGTTGGGAGAGCACCTCTTGGCATGTGATTAGCAAGCTCACTAGAGAAATGAGACTAAAACTGGGAAGTCCAACTCAGATGCTCAGTAAGGTGGTGGTGGCAATGTGCTATGCACATAGGAGTCTGGGTACTGCACAATGTTTGTAATTCTAAATTCCCTGTAGTATAAGTAGGATGGTTCCAGTAGATAGAAGCAAAGTTTCGAGCCCCTGAGTTCCTGTGCATGTGTTGAAGGCGGTACTGTAACAGAGGATCAGTTTGTGACTTCGAGCTTTGCATAAAATTAGCAAGCTCACTCAGAGAAATACGAGATACCCTTTTGATAAGACTTTTGAGAACTTAGTCAGAGTGAATATGAATCAGTGATGCTGTTTCTGTTCTGTTAAGTGTGATAAGTCTGTTTGGAGAATGTGTTGAAGTGGAAATCTGAGTTCTGTTCTGTTCTGTTCTGTTTCAGTCTGTTCCATGTCAGTTCTGTTTGAAGTTCCATATCAGTTCTGTTCAAAGTTCCATTTCTGAATCTGTTTCCGAGTGCTTCTGAAGTGTTCTCAAGTCAAGATAACCTGCTGGAGTTAGTTGGAGAACCCCTACATACAGTTGTGTAGTGAGTGGGCTAAGTCAGTGCTTGCCTGTGGTGTTCTTTTAGCGAGCTCACTATTGTTTTGACATGTATCATCTCTGTTTCTGTTGGGATCAGTGTCCCTTGTGTATTTTAATTTGAATCTGCCTTGAAGGCTGCATCATGCCAGTGAATGACCTTCCTGTAAAAGTTCCTAGACTCAGGAATTCATTAGAGAAAGTTTAGCTTTGTTAAGAGCATTGAGAATAAGAGAAACTCTTTGAGATATTGAAGTATAGTTGGATCACATTAGAAATAATTGCTCCCCCTAGAACTTACGAGGGTGATTGTAGTTTGTGTAGTTGTGTGAGTGTGTGTGTGGGTTTTTGAGGTTTGCCTTTTAGCCCGCTCACTATTTCACAGGTGCCCACAGCCAGCCTCTTCACTGGGTGATGCCCATCCTCTGCAGCAAAGTGCCAATACTGATATGTGTGCTCAATCTGCAAGGGCTCACACACCTCTGATAAACACCCTGGTGGATCCACTTGAGTGTCCAGTGACATGCACACAACACATTCATATGTGTAATTTTGTGAATCCTGTGAATCCAAACATGTGTCAATCCACTAAGTAATATTAGAGTGCATACCTGGCATGGAGTGACACCTGTTGAGGCAGAAGCAGCATATAATAAAATAATCTGAGTGGAGCGCATGGCTTAGACTTAGAGCGGCACACTGGTGTCATTTAAGTGTGGAGTCTCAGTGCCCTGACTCACACCCTATGCATCCCTCAGCAGCGTCTTGCTCAAATAAAATATACTGAAAAGATAATATATTTATGGAGCTTCGTGCAACATTGATCTATGACGCATGAACCCTGCCGATCCGGCAATCACCGAGAGATGTCATTCAGAACCGAGGACCACCCAGTCCAAGCCTCCTGAGAGGGCTTCGGCTGACACAAGAGAAACCCTGTACCCAGAATGAAATATTAAACTAAGAAAAGGTTGTGCAGCAACCAAATATAAATACCAACTCACTAGCGATGTGCATGACAGAGGAATTAAAAACAAGGAGCCAATTAGGAGAAATATTCTGCATGATGTGGCAACTCTAGACCTTGCCAAGAAGAAAGAGCAGCATGTTATCAAGCACTAATTCGGATGATTGACTCAGGATATTAATTAGTGACCATGCAGTTGACGTGTCACAGAGAGAAAATGGCTCCAGGGTGGAGCGTATCTATTTTCGATATTTATATTTATATAATTAGCTGTAGATAAAAGCACGGTAATTAGAAGTAGGTAAAAAGCTTTCGAACCCCCGCAGTTGTGACACGAAGCAGAGAGCCTAGTGTGCAACCAAAGGAATTGTGTTTGTAGCTTTGAGCGAGAGAATATTATTGGATCTAGAATTATTTTGAAACTCTTGAGAGGTCGCGAGGTATGCCTTGCTTGCATGCGATGCTTAGCTTGATTCTGGACAATAATTGATTGTGCTCAACTCGGAGAAATATTGTATTGTGATAACTTGAATGTGCATTTGTGTTTGCAGAACGTGTTTGTGAATTCTGAGTTGTTGCAAGTGGCAGAGGTTTGAACCCTTTGGCTTGTCAATACTCTTTGAGGGTTTTTGGTTTATTCCCAAGTAGCATAGGTTCAAACCCTGTGGCTTGCAGACGTGTTTCTGTGTTTCTGTGTCTCTGGATCGCATAGGTTTGAACCCTGTGGATCTATGAAAGGTTTCTGAAGTGTTTTCTGCTTAGAGCGTGAAGCTTTAAGTTGTGGGTAATTTGTTTGATGGGTTGTGGCCACCTGTGTGTTGCGCGCAACATCAATTGAGGGTTGTACATTCTTGTGGGATGTTTGTGGGCTTGTGAAATATTACTTTTGCCTCGAGGCCGAGCGATACATATTGCTCACCTCCTGTCCTAAAAGCATTTGGACTTAGAGAATTCTTTTGAGCTAGCATGCTATTATATCTTGAAGAGCACATGTAACCCACTAGTATGACAAACAAGGTCAA